ATCTACGTGCGAGACTGAGCTGCCAAGCGAATAACGAGCGAAATCGTACGTAAAATCGTCGCGGTACTGGAAAATCCGCAAATTCGAGTAAATTCGAACGCACCCGAGAGAGAGAGAGAGAAAGTGAGAGAATGATAGATCGACGGAATAGTAGTATAGTAATAAATAAATTCCCGATGTATAACATACAATATATTTTGTTTGTTAAACAAACCAAGAATTTCAGAAGATAACGTGACAAACGTTAAAAGGTAAAGAAGAATTAAAATGTATAATAGATTAAAGAAAACACTAAAGAAAACGAAACAAGACGATGTAAAAACAAAAAAATGAAATTTGCGTTTTATACGACGGGACGGAAGAAAAAGAAGAAAAAGAAGAAAAAGAGGAAAAAGAAAAAAACTTAAAGTACGCGCACATGCAGACATACGTAGAAAACGACGAACGTGATCTAAGAGAAAAAAATCTAAAACTAGTAGTATAGTCCCGAATTCAATACGAATTTTCAATTATCAGGATACAAAAGGGGACCCCGCGTCCGTTACGGGGGTTAATTCCCGATTTAAAACGTCTTGCTCGCGTACACTCCTCCTTTTTAATTCCGTCTTTCTCTTTCTAAGCGTTGAAGTAGCACGAGCTCTAGAGGGTGTTCTGTTGTTGCTAGTGGTGGTAATAGTAGTAGTAGTAGTAATAGTATGGGATGTAACACAAACGAAATCGTACTGTCTCGTGAAAAGATTTTCAAATTAAATTTCGAGATTAGTACCCGGCCTTAATACGGACAAGTGACGGCGGAAGATGTCCCAGGGGTGTGCTACGTGCTACCTTTGGTCCATCCCATGGGACACGAAACTCAACGATGTTTCGACCATCTCACCAGTTTACCATTACGAATACTACTACTACTATCACTACAACCATTCCCAGTAACTACTACCCTTTTAACATCTCCTTTTATTTGCCTCCTCCTCAAACTTTATCTTTCCTATTTTAACGAATAACAACAACAAAATCCAAAAAACTATGCCATTCCTTAAACATGAACGATTAAATTAAGTCATTTAATAATTATATCTAACATCTAATATAAATATATAAATAAGATGAGAAAGAGTGTCTCTCTCTCTCTCTCTTGTAACATAGATGATACATACACACTCTCGCACATATATCCAACAACCCACCTATACGAAAGCATACCCATATATATATGTATATATACATAGTAAGCAGAGTTTTGCTTCTCGGTCACAGTCTGTCGCAAAGGCACGGACTTAAGGCCTTAACAGCTACTAAAGCAAAAGCTCCTTCTGTCTCGCTCTTAAGCACGGAAAACAAGCCGTGTTAGACGAAGGGGGTATTTTGAGGGCCGCCATTGGCTATCCAGGCTCCTTCATAGTCGGTTGCTTGGTAACCGGCCCGCCACCGGCGCACCGATGGCAACTACCCCCGTGTGTAGCGTGACAGCACGACGCACACCCTCGTTTAAGCATTGCAACCCCCCACCCCCTCCCTCCCTCTGCCCCACCACCCACACTTCTACCCTTCTCCACCGCTACGGGATGTACCCTCTCTCTCTTTTCACACAACGACGTTATAACCTACGCGTATATTCGTACATGTCGCGAGAATATATTTAGTGGCGAAACTACCACTGTTTTCCCCGTTGGATCAAGAGAGAGAGAGAAAGAGAGAGAGAGAGAGAGAGAGAGAAAGAGAGAGAGAGAGAGAGAGAAAGAGATAGGGTCTTTCGAGAGTCTTTCTCTCTCTTTCTCTCTCTCACGCCCTCTCTCCCGGAGAGTTCTATAAAGTCTGCTCCTCGTCGAGAGACCGACGTTTCGCTAAAATTCACTAAATCCTTCCTTTTCTCTCGTCGACTATTTTCCAACTGGTCGACTCGCCACCTTTTTCAACCTTTTTATTTTTATCTTCTTTCCGAAAAGTTTCCTCTTCTTTTTCTTCTTCTTCTTCTACTTCTTCTTCTACGAGAGGATTCTTTACTCGAGTTAACGATTATTTTTTATCATCTTTCTTATATCGAAGATAAATAATAGATACATAGAAAGATTACCAAGCTTGATAACTCTTATAATTTATAAACTCCTTTGTCCTATCCGCTAACTTCCGATTGCTCTGTCAACAATAAACAAAAAACTACTATCATAAATATTTGATTTGGTTTTTACCGATATAATAGGAATATAAAGGATTGTTTAATTCTTTAAGAAAACTATAACCTAAACGTGTTAACGTAACGTAGAATTACATGTAACTCAACTAAGAAAATATTCGAGAACAACTTAATTATAAGTCTGACTTGTATCATTTACGTTTTATCCAAACGAAGTATACCACAAGTCATGCTCGTGCAGTTTATTCTTTTTCGCCTAAACTTCTTATCACGAGTCTAACTCGTTGTTGTAGGACGACGGATTTTTCTTCTTCTTCTTCTTCTTCTTCTTCTTCTTCTTCTTTTTCTTCTTTTTATTAGGACTCTTCGTCCTGTTATAATAACTTTTTTATTGCTACTTCTGGGAGTGATTTATTGTTTTTACCGAGGGTAGGTTGCTAACCTTAGATGTTAATTGAACAAATTATTTTTTTTTGAGGTGGAAAAGGTGGGACATCGTAGAACGTGAACTTCTTACGTGGGAAGAAGATTGAAATTGAGAGATATATTTGAGGAATGACAAATTTGTCGGATTAATTTTATCCGAAAAGAAATAAGCATCGATTTTTTTGACAACGTTAAAACGATCGATTCGATTGTCCGTCGCAAATAAGCGTACTCTCTTCGTTGGTAAGAGAAGAAAGAAAGAAAGAAAGGAAGAGAGAGAGAGAGAGAGAGAGAGAGAGAGAGAGAGAGAGAGAGAGAAAAGAAGAAAAAAAGGTTTACGCGGAGAAAAGCGCGGGGGTGGGGGTGGGATGGGATGGGAGTTCTCGTAGAGAGGCCTCTTTAGAGCTCGTGAAAACAATAGATCGTACGAAGTTGGGAACTCGACGGAATTCAGTGTATTCCAAGGTACTTACATACATATTTACCTTTTTTATTTTTTTCCCCTTCGCTCTCCTACCAACTTTTTCCATTTTGTTGTGTTTTGATTTTGTTTTTTTTCCATAGATACACATAGATGCATAGATATTGTTTGATCGAAATTTATTTTTTTGAGAGAAAAGAATGATAATTAATCGGTTTAAGAAAAAGTAGAGAAAATTAGTGATCGGTTAGAAGATTTTCGAACAGCTTACTAACGTCATCGTACTTATGGTTGGCAACATGTTTGACTGACTACGTCAGCAACATAAGCCAGTCTACGCTTTCGGGGTCCAATTAGTCGAGGGAACACGTATAACCTGTATCAAGGCCGTAATTAATAGTTAATTAGCCTAAAGTAGTAACGTGGGCGGGCAGTAGGAACGGCAGCGTACCACCAACAACGCGTTTCATCACAGGCTTTAGCAAAAGAAGCTCAACAGAAACCTGGCACTAACAGCAGCAGCAGCAGTAACAGCAACAGCAACAGCAGTAGCTGTCGGGTTAGCTGATGCTGGCTGATGCTGATGCTGATGTTGGTAGTGGTGGTGGTAGGTAACGAGAGTTAGCCTCGGGGAAAAGGGCTTGCAATTCATTGTACACGGTTGAACCGCTTTTCGCTCGTTAATTCGAAATTAATGTATAATTGATAATTATTTTCGGCTCGTGGATCCAGGCCGTCGTCGTAGTCGTCTACTATTGCAACTGCAACTGCTATTGCAACTGCTACTGCAACTATTACTGCTACGATTTCATCGTTACGTATTTCTTTGTAGATAGAAAAAAATTATCGTGTTAACCAGAAACGCACGCGAATTTTTCTCTACTATCTTTATTATCCCCAGGGATCTCCCCTTAATTGGCGAATCGCAAATTTTATCCCGTTTAAAAAGAAATAAATAAAGAAATAAAAAGAAAGAAAGAAAAATCGTCAAATGTTCAACGTGTCATCGTTAAGTATATTCAATTTCTTTGTTTTTTTTTGTTCTAACCACTATTCGATCAAATTTTCTTTCCCCCCTCTCTCTCTTTCTGTCCCTTTCTATTATATGTTTCATTCTATTCGTCAAGAACGGGGTAACACGATACATGTTAACAGGATCTACAACGTTAATCCGATTAATATTGCGTTAGAAATTTGTGTGGTTGAGAATTGTATTAACGAGCGAGGTGTACTTTTGAAAATGGAGAACGAATAGATCGAACAAAGTTTGCTATACATACATACAACCATCTATCTATCTATCTATCTATCCATCTATCTATCTATCTATCTATCTACATGAGCTAAAGATGATAACGTTAAATTAATTTCCTAAATAATAATCTAGGCTTGTAACGTAGCGAGAAGGAGAGCTTGTTAAATCATGAACACGTAGGCTAGATTTTCGTAAAAGAGAGAGAGAGAGAGAGAGAGAGAGAGAGAGAGAGAGAGAGAGAGATAGGTAGGTACCCATATTCTCTGATTCATTGGCAAGTCAGGTATAATGGGTAATTTGATATGCGACGTAGGTGAGCGGCTCGCTAACATACAAGAGAGAGCCCATGTAATTATCAATTACAGCCGGTGCCACAGCGAATAATGAGCTCTGAATTCAATGAAATATTACTGCCAACTCACTCACTCACTCACTTACTCACTCACTCAGCGGATCTTTCATAGGTACCAGAATATATCACGGACCGTGGTAATTTCAACAAGATTTCAATCTCGAGAATATATATGTAGATACTTTAGATTAAAAAAAAAAAAAAAGAAAAGAAAAGAAAGAAGAAGAAGAGGAAGAAAAAAAAAGTGTCTGAGTAACCAGTAATAAGACGAGGAGAATCGATACTTGAGCTTGTCCATGCGAATTATAGTAACGTTAATTCGTTAATAACCATTCATCAACGCCGATCGATCGATCGATCGATCTTTCTTTCTTTCTTTATTTCTTTTTTATATCTCTTAATTATCTTCTTACAGGTGTTGGACATAACATCGAGTCGGGCAAGGATTTCACAGTCGACGGTCTATCTGGTTTTAGTAAAAAAAAGAAGAAGAAACGTCGTCATAGGTGAGTCTCTTGCATAAACTCTTCTTCCTCCAAGGTAAATCATTTAATGAATATTTTAAAACAGAAAAAGATAAAAGAAAAAGAAAAAAAAAGGAAAAGAAAGAGAGAGAGAGATTATTACTATTAATATTATTTTATTATCCTCTGTCGTTATATCATCGGACACTATCGATTTTGCTTGGAATATACATTTTTTTCTCCCCCATCCCTTATATTATATTATTTTTTGTTGTTTCTTTTATCATATTATTTTGTTTTCTCGTCGTGACGATTCGAAATATTTCATCCTTTGGTATTATCTACCTCTCTCCTGCCCCCCGTTTTTTTCGCGTTAAAATCGTTAAGGGGTGCAAACGGAAACGCGAGGGGCTTTTATAAAATTTCATCTCTGTTCACACGGCAGGTAAATCTATTTTAAAAGTCTCAACGATATTATATACACAAACATACGTATACATATATGTATATATATATATATATATATATCATTTTGGAAAGCATGCTCGGGATTCGGAAACGTAATCAACGACTATTGATAATTATTGCTTCGTGTTATATATTACGAATCGAGTATTAAATTTACGATTGTTAAGGATTTTTTTTTTTTTTTTTTTATGGGGATAAATCGACGACGGTTCAAAACAACAAATTATTGGCCCCCAAAATTTTCCAACCATTTTTTTCTCTACCATTTTGTATTATTTACCGAAAGAAATAATTTTTCGTAAATTATCGTAACACACATTATATCCTTTCTTTCTTTCCTTTTTAAATATAAGTGACTTTCGATCCCTGCGTTTTAACCAAACGTATGCGAGAAAGAGAGGAAGAGAAATAACGTGTGTGTATGTGTACGAGGGATATAGTAAACGTTGGAACGATTTTCGCGCGTCCACCTTAACGAGAGCCGATGATCGTCCGGGAAATGACTTTCAATTTCGAGGCTTTCGTTCGAGCAACACAAACCCAACGATGGCAGATGCCAGCAGCTCGTTCCACGTGTACAACCTACAATTTGTCGAATCGCGAGACTAATTGGACTGTCTTGTCGTTAAACTCGTTCTCGTTCTCGTTTTACTCCCTCTGCTTCGATATTTTTGTGATCGATACTCTCGATAAATGGAGATTATAAACATTGAAACTAATAAAAGAAAAAAAAGATAAAAGAAAAAAGAAATGAAAATATAGAAAATAAAATGAAAATAAAATGAAAATAAAATGAAAATGAATATGAAAATAAAATCAAGTCAAACCAAATAAAACAAAACGAAACGAAACGAAAAAATAAATATCGAATGAAATCCAATTGACTAATGGGATTCTCGATCAATGTGAGTGTGTGTGTGTGTGTGGGTGTGTAATACGTGAAAATCCATTTAAAAAGCAAAAACGTACGCGCAAATATTCTGATCTATATTTTTTCTTTTCTTTTTTTTTTGCGCTCATCCAAAATAAAAAAGAATAAATCCATTTCAACACGAAAAACCGTAGGGATAGTTATGTAAGATAAAAAGCTGTAATGGCATATAACTAGGTTCATGTGGTTGTTGCTCCAGGACGATCTTCACGTCTCAGCAGCTGGAGGAGTTGGAGGCAGCGTTCAAAGAAGCCCATTATCCCGACGTCTATGCTCGCGAGATGCTCAGCCTCAGGACGGATCTGCCCGAAGACAGGATACAGGTGAGGAGATAAATTCGAAAATACAGAGAGAGAATGAAAGATCCTGCGTGTGCGTGAACGATAAATAGAGAAAGAGCAAGAAAGTAAGGAAGAATGAGTGACAGAGAGAAATCAGGGGGGAGAGGGACAAAACTGGGGGTCCATGAAATTTGAGAATGTCTTCTGACTCTGCGAATTTCCTTCCTACGATCTTACAATCTTATCAAATTTCCAGAAAGAGAGAGTCTTTGTTAAATATCTACGAACTAATTTATGTTAACTAATTATATAAACACCCTCCCGTAAAATCTACTGTCAACGTTATCATAAACATTAATCCTTAATCTCGTATTAGCGAGAAAATCAATTTCTCTATATCTGACATATAATTAAATAAAAATAAATAAATAATAAAGTGTTAGACGCGCGAAATAATTCTGATAAAACAGAATCATAAACGTAGAATGAAAATTTGTCGTCGTAGATTCGCTTATAGGAGGTTTATCATTTTGATGATAATAATAAAGAAACCCATGGATGCCGGCACACGAGTCGGAAAGAGTTAGATGGGCGTCGGTGTAAAGAGGAAGGGCCGGGCCCCGTTCGTTGTCATGCAAATAGGGAGGAAGCTTGAGTCGTGGTTGGAGGACGAAAAGGCACACGAGCAAAAGTGTGCGCGGAAGAAGAGACCATAGAAGAAAACAAAAACAACAAAAAAAAGAGAAAAAAAAGGAAAAGAGAGAGAAAAGAGAGAGAAAGAGGGATAGGGATAGGTAGATAGATAGATAAAAAGAAAGACAGAAAGCACCACGTTTTCTCTCTCTCTCTCTCCAGAGAGGGCAGAAAAAAGGGAAAAAAAAGAGAAAAGAGAAAAAAAAAGGGAGAATAGTCGTGTGTGAGTCTGACGGTTAGTTACCGCGGATCCACGAGAAACAGTAGGCTGAGATCGGTTTCCGCATGGCGGCTTACGAACAAGGTCCTCTCCTTCGCCGCCCTCGGCGAACCTCTTCCTCTTTCTCCACCTCCTCATCCTCCTCCTCCTCCTCCTGCTGCTGCTCCACCTCCTCCTGCTGCTACTACTCCTCCACCATCATCACCAGCTTTTCCACTAGCACTAGTTCCACCACCACTACCTCGTTCGTTCGTGGTCGTCGTGGCCGTTGCCACCCTCAGTCGACCCTTTCGTCGTCGTCGTCGTCCTTCCTCGGACTCGTCCGTTTCCCTTTTCAACGATGCGTACGAGAGAATAGGAGTCCTTCTCCGTCTTTCTTTATTTCTTCTTTTTTTTTTCTTTTTTTTTATCTTCCTCTTTCTCTATGCCTCGGGCAAATTGGAAGAGAAGAAGGCTAAGGCTCCTAAATGGGGAGGAGAAAAAAAAAGTTTCGCTCTCTTCTTCTCTTTCCTTTCGTATTTATATATATATGTATATGTATATGCATATATGTATTTTGTTTTTTTGCCATCCTTTTTTTTCCTTTTCGCTATTCTCTTCCCTATATCACGTCGATCTCTAACGGCTAGAGGGGTGATGGGTGAGGAGGCGGAGGTATCGATTTTTCGATTAGATTCAAACGAACTTTTATAGATAAAAGAAAAAAGAAATGAAAATATAGAAAATAAAATGAAAATAAAATGAAAATAAAATGAAAATGAATATGAAAATAAAATCAAGTCAAACCAAATAAAACAAAACGAAACGAAACGAAAAAATAAATATCGAATGAAATCCAATTGACTAATGGGATTCTCGATCAATGTGAGTGTGTGTGTGTGTGNAAGAAAAAAGAGAGTAAAGTACAGAAAGAAAAAGGGAGATATATATATATATATATATATATATATATAGAGAGAGAGAGAGAGAGAGAGAGAGAAAGAGGAGACACACGCATGGTTATTATATTTTGATATAACTTGAGGAGGGTGCCCGTCAAACGTGGAGGGTAAAAGAGAGAGAGAGAGAGAGAGAGAGAGAAATGAGAGAAGAGGAAGGGAGGATTTCGAGGGTGGGGTTCGTCGAAACTCGGTGCTCGTGTAGACTCGCGTACGCGGGTGAGTGAGTGAGTGAATACGAGAGAGAGAAACAGAAAGAGAACAAGAGAGAGAGAGAGAGAGAAAGTAGCAGCACGGTGCAGGAACGACAAAGCGGCCATTGCAGGATGGGTGCGGTCCCGCGGGCCAATCAGAGACGCGAGCCGCGGACCGTTCGGCCAATCAGGCCGCGCCTTCTACCCGTCTTTTGTTTCTAAATTCGCGCGCGCGACATAACGAGGACGAGAAAGAGAGAGAGAGAGAGAGAGAGAGAGAGAGAGAGAGAGAGAGAGAGAAAGAGAGTGAGACGGAAGGGGGAGGGGGAGGAGCGGGAAGAGGGCTTGCCTGGTAATCGTTAACGGAGATATTTTTCTGCGCGAGTTATCCCTACCTTTCCTTCCACCCTTTTCCTACCACCCTACAACAACCCCTCTCCCTCCTCCTAGTCCACCCACACGTCCAGCAGCAGCAGCGTGTTCGTTCTTCCTTTCGCGAGAGGACGATTTTTCTTTTCCGTTTGTTTTTCTTTTTTTTCTTTTATTTTTTTGCATTTTCTTTCCCCTAATTTCTTGTTCTCCCTTCCACCTCCTCTCGACTCCCCCTTCACCCCATTCTTTCTCAACGATTACTTTGCGACTCTCTTTGCGACTCTCTTTGCGTTTTTCCTAATCTCCTAGAATCTTTCTTCTTCTTCTTCTTCTCTTCTTCTTCTTCTTCTGGTATTTCTTCTTGTTACGTCTTGTTCTCGTTGTTCTTGTTTTCGTTGTTGTTGTTGTTGTTCTTCTTCTTTCTCCACTTTCTTTTCTCTTGCCTACTTCCAATCCAAGCCAAGTTCTATCAGTCTGAGTAGCGATGACACTGTATCTCGGAGGAAGATAATTATTATAAAAGGACCGACGTCTATATTCTGGGTGGACGTTCGTTCGAAGAGATTGCTACTCTCTTTTTTAAAGAGAGATAAATTATAAAAATAGGAAAGAGAGCGAAAGAGAGAGTGAAACAAGCGTAGAGAGAAATACAAGTTCGTATCTGTATGAATTTATTGCCAGAACTATACGACATTCCCTCCCCCCTATTTTTTTACAATTCTTCACTATTATTTTGTTCGTACAAAGAAAAATACAATCGTAGGAATCTCCCGCAGTGAAATTAATCGAAACGTCTTCAACAGACTTTTCTCCCGTACTATGGTTCGTTACAATCGAATTAGAAAGCATAAAGATTTCTTTATCCAAGGGAAGGGGGTGGGACGGACGAGATTTATTTTTTTTTTCTTTAATCTTTTATCACGTTAACTATTTTCTTCCATTTAGTGTATATATATATTTTTCGCGTTATTGAAAGTACCACGATCAATCGACAATCTAATTCGACTTTAATAAATCGTCCGGATCGTTTTGACTAGACCCTCGTGGTGGTTGGTTGGATGGTTGGTACCTACCAGCATCCTACAATTCTGATTGCTACGAGAATCGAGCACAAACGGACGTAATTTCGGTGCTTCGAAGAGGGCTCCCGATACTTCTTCTTATGGGGGTGCCAAAATTACACCCTGACTTATACCCTGCCACGCGTCCTTTTCACGAATCAATATATATATATATATATATATATATNAACGAACAAAAGCATTGAGTTGATTTGTGTTGTACACATACATACATATAGAGTAGTTTGTAGTCGTAGCAGTAGCAGTAGTAGTAGTAGTAGTAGTAATATCTTCGGCTCACGTCAAACGAGTTCGCTTGCCAAAGGAAAGAGAGTCGACAACGATGAGTAGGGTGATACGTTTGAGAAGAAAAAAAAGAAAAAAAAAGAAGAGGGGATGATAAAAAGAAAGAAAGAAAGAAAGAAAGAAAAAGAGAAAGAGTGAGATAGAGATAGAGATGGAAAAAGAGAGAGTACCGAAAAGCTCTCACAGTCTCTCATATATTTTCCCAGTACGAAAGATTCATCGACGACGTCCTAAGAGAAAGAGAGAGAGAGAGAGAGAGAGAGAGAGGAGAGAGAGGAGAGAGAGGAGAGAAAGGAGAGAAAGAGAAAGAGAGGATGGCGAAAAGGCGAGAAAGCTCGTTAGGTTTTAGACGCAATCAATTTAGGCTCCGTCCTTTGTCCCAAAGCCGCTGTTTCAAGCTGCAACGCTCAATATACATATATATATGATATTACATATATACATATTTATATGAGTACACATGTAACTATATAGTATTTATATGGTCGTGTATATGTATGTATATGTATATTACAATATGTATATAGAATATACACGCCGAGGAGGACTCGTCCGAGGACATCGCACATCTCAAGTATTTAATGCGTTTCTCGTAGCTTTGTAACCCCTCACGTAGTCGTCATCATCGTTGTCGTCGTCGTCGTTGTCGTCGTCGTCGTCGTGGTGGTCGTGGTTCGTGGTTCGTGGTCGCGTGGTCGTGGTCGTGGCTCGTAGTTGTATCGTAGTTGCTCGTTGCTCGCCCAGCACAAATCTCTCTTTCTCTTTCTCTTTCTCTTTTTCTCATATATATATATATAATACACGTACACATTCTCTCGCGCATCTCTCTGAATTTCTATCTCTGTCTCTTTCACTCGAACGAACGTGTTCCTGGTTGCTTGCCTGTGTGCTTGCCTGCGTGCCGCGGCCATCCGAAAGACAAAATCAATAATCGGCCAGTGACTAACGCCAAAATATATATATATATATATATATGATACGTGCAGGTGGGGTTTTTCTATACTTGGTATTACTATTCAACTCCTATCTTTTTCTATTGATATCCAAATAGGAATAATACCTAAACAACTTATCTCTCCGATCTCTATATAATATATTTATTATAATTGATAACAAGATACTCAAACGAGTTCAATTTTCAATTATGAATAATAATTCTCGATGATAGGGGAGAGAGAGAGTTACTCGATCTGAAGTACTAGAAAACATTGATAATAAATCAAATACCATCGACGTAATTTGTGAAATTAATTTATAC